CCACCCCACCCGAGTTCCTCGCATTAAAGGAATATAAGAGAGGTTATGGGGCCATCTGGGTTAGCCCTGCTGTCTGTCACACCCAGATGTAATGACCTTTGCCTCCTGCACTTTTGATTCACTTGGAAAACATCTGTGTATATGTATTAACAAATCATCTGCACTAGAGAGCTTATACCTTTCTTCACGATGTGACTGAGCTCCAGTTGTTGCATTGGCTTGGATGACATGTAATTGGCATGGATGACTTGTAAATTTTTCAGCTGTCAACAAATGCAAAATCACAAATGCTCATTTGGGAGGTGGAATTTATTTTAACATTCCATCTGGAACTACATTTGTTATTCAAATAGCAGTGTCATTACTGTATACATAACACTGTTCAAAGCCCCTGCTCCAGGAGCTGGTGCTAGATTTCATCAATAAGGCAATAATAAAAGGAGAATGTTAGGAGCAAGTGACTTCCATAAAATCAGATTAACTGTCTCATAGCCAATGCAACAAGGAAGAAAAAGGATGATAAAAATTTATAATGTTGAATAAGATATTCACAATGGAATCTAAATCAGTTTGCATTCTGTTCCCCAGATTACCAGATTGAAAATTGACCGAAATCCATTTGCAAAAGGGTTCAGGGATTCTGGAAGAAACAGGTAAGAAAGCTCCTTCAGTCTTCCCTTCTCAGCTTGCCAACTTTCTTGTGGGTCCGATGATGGAATAGATCGCCATGCACAATGTGTAGGGAGTAAAAAGGCTTGGCAACCAACATTTATGACAGCATGTTTATTTTGTACTTCATACCTGTTTCAATAAAAATTTCTCAAGGAATCTTAGAAGTAGTAACCCAGAATCCTAAATGGACAGACACAGCCCAGCAACCTTAGCCTTATACTGTATGGTTAACGAGGTGATTGTGGTTACTTTAATTAGTACTATTCACCCGTGTGCTCTCACCTCCTCCAAACTTAACTAGACTTGTCATCTGTTGCACCAGTTTCTCACTGATCCTTGTGTGTAAGCAATATCATGGACTCATTCATTAATTTTCTGGAAACTTTGGGAGAGAGAATGCAAATAGGCAGTTGTGCATGAGTTACAGATTTTTTCAGTTATAAGGATAGCAGTGCTATTAAAATACCCAGGTGCCTTTGGAAAAATCAGATGAAAATCAGACAAAAGTATGCAGCTTCAGAGTTCTGCTTCTATGCAATATTTGGTCAAGCAAGATGTACTTAACATTTGCTGATCTGTAATACATTGTATTTAATGTCGATAGTAACTTTAGCATAATACCTAAAATGGTATACCACTTTTTGCAATGCCGTTTTCTCAGTGTTCAGTGTAGTTATCATCTGCGACTTGGACTATTAATCTTTGGTGCAATCCATCAGTAGTGAATATTAATGTAAGTTCTTGCTCTCTAGCCAAATGTAAAGCCAGGTAGATTTGTGTGGGTTGGCTGCACTCCTAACCAATTCCCAGTCACACTTCTAAAACAAATACAGCAAATACCATGATGTTTTTTTTAAAAAAGAAATCAGCATGAATGTTTTCATATTTTGAAATATATTGCCTTGCAGAATAGACTTGTTCATTTAACTCATCTGTACCTACATTGGGAATCAATGAACTGAATTTAAACCTTGTTCATGATCAAGGTATCTCCCCTGCCAGGTAAGTATGGCCCTCCTAAAACAAAAGAAAAGATTGGTAATGAAAGAGACCTGGCAGAAATTAATTCAATTAGTCAAAAAGAGGGATTCTTCCCTCTTCTGGCAAACTACCAGAGGACTAGGAAAATATCCCCCCCCCCCCCCCCCACACACACACCTTCAATCAAGTACCAATATAAGCCTGGGAAGAGTATTTTAGAGGGTTGTAGATGGACCCTGCTAGGAACATAAATGAGAGTAAAGTCAACCTGGGCCAAGTTCAGAATTGGCCCCCTGTCTCTGTGCAAGAGGGAACCCGATTGATTGAATCCCTTAAGGTGAAGAAGGCTCCAGGTGTTGATTATGTTTTTCCTGAAATAATTAAAAAGAATCTCAGCTGGTGGGTGCCTTTGCTACCATCCCTATTTACATTCATAGATCAGACTGGTCATATTCCAAAAGATTGGGGGCTGGCAATAATAGTCCCAATTTATAAAAAGGGCAATAAGAATGATCCATGCAATTACAGGCCTATCAGCCTTTTGAGTGTTGTTAGCAAATTATATGCTAAACATCTAAATCACAACCTCCAAGACTGGATAGAGACAGAGGGCATAATCCAAGATGAGCAGGCAAGTTTCAGAGAAGGGAGGTCAACAGCGGACTGCATTCTGCTGCTCCACCATCTCATACAAAAATACACTCATAAAAATAAGTCCTCCCTCTTTGTGGCCTTTCTAGATTTTAAATGTGCCTTTGACTCAATTTCCAGGAATGCCCTTTGGGAAAAATTAAAAAATGCATTATTGACAGGTGCCTCCTCTTTCTGATACAGAAATTATACTCCAACACCATCTTAAGAGTGAGGTGCAATCCTCAAGGGTCCTGCTCTGGCACAGTAAATGTTCAGAAAGGAGTGAGACAGGGATGAATTCTTGCACCTTCTCTTTTCAACTTGTATGTCAATTCAGTGGTGGACCTTCTTCATAATCTGGATTTCCATGCACCTAAACTAGCAGGGCACAAAATCCCTATACTCATCTATGCTGATGATGCCACCATAATTTCACAAACTATAGGCTGAAAACAGCAATAGCAGCAATATTTTGGTGCCGCAGACAAAATCACCTGGTTACCTTCTGCACTGCTGCAAGGCAGAAACTTAAAATCCCATTAACTTGAACGTACCTGCCCATGTGGTGATAAAGAGATCGAAACCATTACACACATATTACTGCATTGTAAATGCTACAGGGATATCATCTCTGCTTATATCCTGCCCCTAATATGTAAATTTCCAGGAAGATCAGACAATTTCTATGTGAATCATCTTCTAGAAGATTTAAAACTGTTTATCACTTGGGTAGTAGCCAAACTATTTTATTTATCACTTTAGATTTAACACATACTAGCTATCTTGTTTTTAGATGATATAAATTTTACTTCATAGTCTGTAATATTTTAGATTTACACTCACACAAGTAATTAATGTAAGTGTAAATCTAAAATATTACATTTTATGTGTTATTTTATCTTTGTTATGCTAATATTTTATCTTATCTTTTTGATTTTACTTGTTGTTGTTTTTTAATTTTTGCTGGTCATTGACCAAATGAACTATTATTATTTCCCCCCCCCCCCATCATTAGAATATGGTCTCGTCCACTATTAAAAATAAGGCTGTAGAATATTTAATGAACCACTTATGTGGGTAAATTTACATTTCTTATCTTATGAAAGCAACCGGTTGGTGGGAAATTTGAAATTTAGGGGAAGTGTTGATAGAAAAGGCCACATTCATTACCTGAAAATCAAACAAACTTTCAGCATCCTTGTTTTGCTATGTGATAACATCATTAATTGAACACCAAAGTGTGTAAGCTGACTCCAATATGGAGTCTGGATTAATTTTCCAGGTAGCTGAAATATTAATTCAGGTATTCTTTAATTAAGGTCTGTCTCCTCTCTAATGAAAATTGGCTACTTGCCACTATTCTGAACTGAGGGTGTAAAAACAAGAAATTGGGAAGGGCTAATTTAATTATTTGTGCAAATTACTAGTGATTTGGAGGTTACTGGCTGAACTCAGGCCTGGCCGGATGAGACCTCCAGAAGGTCTTAATATTTGGCCATTTTCATTTTGGCCATTTGGACATTTTCCTAGAAATTTTAGGAATCATGGTAACTTATGGTTCATAAGGTCAGGAAACTGAAACTGAAGCTTTGCTGATATGAAACTGAGCGAACATATTTAAGGTTTTACATTATCAAAGAGAGCCAGATGGAGCCTTCAGACAAGGAGCATTAAATGGCTTGGCTCTGTGAAAGAAAACTACCAAGATGGCACTGGAGGACTGGCTTATCCAAAGCCTGTAACTCTCAGGGGGGTTCCAAAGAAATCAGATGCCGCACGCTGCAATGTCCAGGCACTCAGAGGCTGACAGTTAGGCAGCTCCAGGGAGAGCATCTTCAGCCTGCTACAGATGGTAAGCAGGAAATTCTCAGGAGCCAAACTACAATTCCCAGAATTCTTTCAAGGGCAAAGGGAGCCATGATTGCCAAGCAGCAGATCGAAGCATATAGTATAGCTTTGTCAGGATATGTCAGTGCACTTGTTCCCTTTTCTTTCAGTTGCCACCTTTTATGGCTGGCCATTTGCAGAATCGCTGAAAGTCTAGGTTATTATTCTCTATTCCCCTCCTAATTGCAAATTTCCCACCAACACGGAAGTATTCACATATGCTCAGACTCACGCTTGGAAGCGGCCATAAGAAAGATCACCATTTAATTATTATTTTCTTTCATTAAAAGTAAGATTCTGTGACCATGAACCAACAATCAGGAGAGGCATTAAAGCAGCTGCTCCTAACTTAAAACGGCCCATAAAAATGCTTTTGACAATGTAGAGGGAACCCAGGATTGTGGGGATGAAAAACAATAGTGATCTCTTACTAAGCTCTTACTAAGTTTTCTTCCTTTTAAATCTCTCTCTCTCTCTGTTTCGCTGCGTCTCTCTCCCCGCTCCTTCTGAGAATGAAATATGAGTAGCACATACCAAGTAGCATTTTCCATTTCTTCTTTCATCAAGCTTTTCTATTTAGAAAATTTGTTTTTCTGCTTTGTGCTGAGAGGGAATTGAGGCCTATTTGCTCTCAGTATGTGGTTTTATTTTTTTATTTTTTAATTAGCTAGCGTAGCATTTGTAAGTTATGTAATTGCCATTAATTATAATATTATTCATTACGGCTTTAATTTGTTTAGTCTACTTAGCCCTGTTCAAATTGAACTCTTTCCCCAAGGATTAAGCTGGTTCTTTCCCCAAGGACTGGAATAGGCTGAGGCCGGGCCTCAGTGACTGGGATTGCTTATGTATTGGGGAGAGTTCTTCTAGGGCACTGGGAGGTGTTTTTTGACATTGGTTTTTATTGCTTTTTAAAATGTTTTTACTGTTTTCATTGTGAGTTACGGCATATAAGATGAGTGGCCAAATAAGTTTCTTAAATAAATACAGCTTGTTAAGATAAAGTATTTAAATACATAAATCAATTTCAAAAGAAACAAGAAGTGGGTGATTCTGCACCAGACCCATGAAGAGACCTGATGTAATATAGTGCTGGATTTGGTGGTTGGGCTTCACATTTCTTCTCTGGCGATTCAGTCCAGTCCAGTTGCAATATTACGTCCTGTGCTTTCTACCCAGTTCAGTGTTTAAAAAATAACGTGTTGCTAAGTAGCCTACAGATGAATAACCGGCTAACGTTCAAGAATGCTAGACGCAGAATTTTATTCATTTAGTTATTTCTGAATTTCTACCCTGTTTAGCTCAATGTTCCAGGAGGTCTACAACATTAAAAAAAAAAAAAATGAAGAAATAAAGCATATACAGCAGAATGATAAAATTGATGCAATTAAACCAAAATCAAAATCAAAACCAAAATCTTTTCTCACATACCAATAGCCAAGCTTCCGGCAACAGAAGTTGCTTCTAAGGGTCCTCTCCTGCTGAGTTAGGTAATTGGGCAGGTTCAGGTAATCAGACCGTAAGCCATTTAGGGCTTTAAAATTCAAAACCAGAACCTTCCTTTGTACCCCGTGGGCAACCAATAACCGATTCCAGCAGTTAAGAGCGAGCTGAGATCTTTCAGTGCAGGCACCATATCATTCCTGACCTTGGCTGCCATATTTTGCTCCAGTGCAATTTCTGGACACTTTTCAAGAGAAGCCCCAGATAAAATGCACTGCTGTATTTGAGCTGTAACCAGCTGGCTCAGGAAGGGCTGCAGTTGTTACACTAGCTGGCGTTGTGCAAATATTCTCCTTGCCATCTGCAAATCAAATGACATCTATGGGTCAAGGAGCCCAGATTTTGAATATGCTTTCTTGGGGAATGCAACTCCATCCGGATCAGGCTTCAATTCAGTCCTAGAGTTCAGTTTTCTTCTTACTAGCAGCACCTCTGTCTTGCTTGGATTTAATTTCAGCTTAATTTCCTACACAATCTCCTGTGGCCCTTGAAGGTTTGGCATTCTTTCTCATTTGTTTGTACAACCTCTGTTCATATGTGAGCAATGGCTTTTTGCTGTTTTTACTGTTCGTTTACTGAGATTATTGAATTAAACATATGCAGAGAAATGAATCCAAAGTCCCTAATAAGTAAGGCAAATAATAATGAAAAATATGCAGTTGGTTAAAGTGGCCTTCAAATGCAATGTAAAGGTAGCTTTTCCAGTTTCTTTCCCATTAGAGTTGATGCTAAAAATTCTTCCTGACCTTAGTTCCCCATCCTGTTAAGCTCATCCAGAAGAATGCTTTGGTGATATAAAATCTGTCTGTATTAATGCCAATCATTTCAGTAACTAACTGCTGGATGATGCTATAGTGGAGATAACATCATTTATCCACATCAGCTCTTTCTCATTCATCTCCACTTTATCTATTTCCCCCGGTCTATCTCTCATTCATCTTAATAATGTTGAACATATATTGCTATACTTTGTAAAGGAAGTGTAAAATCTCTTTGCTTTTCTGCTATAAACATCTGGAAAAGTATTTATTAAAAATGAAATACAAGAGCATACTTCACACCGAATTTGCATTTGCTAACATGTTGCAAGGTCAAACTGAAACTTTACAAACTACTGACAAATAGTTTTTGCACAAGTAGAAAAACATCCCTGGCCCAGATCTGGTTATTAAGCTTTCTGCAAAGATTTGGCTTTGCTTCATTTTGGAGCATCCAAAACTATTTCAAAGCATAGCAAACAGTCCATAGTAATAGATTTTTAAGTATAAGTCAAACACTGGTTATTATTATTAAATCTCAAGTACTGAACCAGAACTGATAGGGTTTGCATGAGTGTGGGCATTGCTCTCCATGATTACAGTATTAGCATTCTTTACAAAATAACACTTCTCAGCTTTTCGTTTTGTTTCTAAAAATCGTTGTGTGAGACCGAGGTAGGCAAGGATCTGTGCCCAAATTTACATGGAATATAAAAAGGCAAAAATAAGTGTGGGGGCTGGCATAAAAAAAAATTGGGTTTCACTGTGGCCTTATTTTCTAAAACTTGCTCACAAAGAGTTAGTTTTAGCTCCATGTACAATAGTATAGATAGTCCCCAATTTAAGGACGCGTTCCATTCCCAATTACAACATATCAGCCCTTCCCAGATTAAAAAGGAGCTCAGATGAAGGAAAGTTCATGCACAGATAGACTGAAAGGAGCTCTAAGATTTGGGATTTGGACATTCCCAAGGTCTGTCCTTAAGTCAAATCATATGTAAGCCAGAACAGTATTATTGTATTGCATAAATAGTATTGTGTAATGAACTCGAACCATTGTGTATTTAACTTGAATTTTGCTACAATAGGCTCCATTCTTAACTATGGGTTGTCCTTAAACTGGGTGTTCTTAACCTGGGGACCTGTACTAATGAAACAAATTCTTCATCTTGGAGAAAGACCAACCTTCACTGGCAATTCTTCTGTGGCAATTTTTCCCCCAAATCTTAGAGCTCCTTTCAGTCTATCTGTGCGTGAACTTTCCTTCATCTGAGCTCCTTTTTAATCTGGGAAGGGCTGATATGTTGTAACTGCAATTTCCCATACGTGCAGTCACATGAATGAAAGGCTCACGTGCCCATGTATTCAGTCTGTACATGAGCTTTTTTGGGGGGGGATAGTTGATTTTGGAAATAACATTTTTGGCTCCAATCCGTTCTACCTGTACCTTGGGGACTGTACAGTGGGACAGTCCCACTGAATGCATTTGGGGCACGGCATTTATTGCTGATCAGGCATGTTTGGAGGTGTCGATCTGGCGCTTAGAAGAAGGTTTCAGAGAACAATGCCTGTAGGCAAGAGATAGGGGAGGGGACCATATGGAAGGCATTACTGAAACAAACAAATATATCCAATCTCATTCACCATTTTTGTACAATGGGATCCTTTTTTATTCCCTATTATTAAAACGTAGTGGTTTCCCCCTTCTCCAAGAAAATCAAATGATAGACCCCAAATTCTAGAGATATAATAGAGCTTGTGTATATTTTTCTCTTTTTTTCTTCCAGGCCATCATTAATAAAAGCATGAAAAAATAGAGTTTGTCATAGAATAGGCATCAGAACTGATGTGTGGGTTGCATCTGAATCAACAGATTCATAGTGTACGTGAGCCAAGTTATACAAACGAGGTTTGTCCTTGGGTTAGTAACTCAAGTATTCAATAATTTCCCTGGAGATTTTGAACATCTCTTGTTGATTTACTAGTGACATGAGGTAATTGGGTTTTGTGAACATCTGAATCCTTTGGGTTAAATTTAAATTTTGCTGCACTTTTCAGTCAAAAAGTGAAACATTGTCTGCAAAGTTAAACAATATACACCAGCAGGCCCTGATGAAATGAATGGATACTTGGCTGCTGTGGTTCCCCAATCTGGAAAAAAAAAAGGAAAAAGTTTTGCTGGCAAAACTCTACATTATCATATGAATATGCTTATACTGATATCACATAGATCATATGTGGAGAGGAATGGATGAAAGTCTGTTGTATTTGCAGTACGTCTTGCTTTCCAAATGAACTTTGAATGCAATGTTCATTATAGTGTGAATTTTGGATATAAATGGCTTCTGTTATCCTTAGCAATCTAAACATTTTTTGTATTAACTTCTTCTCATTGAGTTCTGGGTGGTCATTTTACTGAGAGAATATCTGTGGTGAAGTATTCTGTACCACTGTGAAACTTGGGAAACCCTATTTTTACTTGCGGATGTTTAGCAACTAATAAACACTCTGGCAATTTCTCCTCTCCCAAATTAGCTGTTAAAATCCCAAGTTTTGCCAAGTATATCCTTGCTTCCAAGGTGACTTTGGAATGTTAGCTCCACTCCTTTTTAGCTGCAAAAACCTGTCTTTTCACCAGCAAAGAGGCTTTAGGGACCTTGAACTCCAGAAATGGAAGGTGAGCACATTCTCAAAGTTAATGAACCAAAAGAAAGAAGACAGAGGAGAGGAAGGAAAGCAAACACCAGATGATTGAGTAATAGCAGAAGGTGAACTGCTCTCTACTTTCCTTAATACTTCTTTCTCCCAACTGTTACTGAGCATGTTAGTTAAAGATCCATCCTGAGCCCTGGGCCCATTCCCAGTTCATCACGGCCCTTGATTTTGCTCTGTGGTATGTCACCATCTCCCTCTCCTTTTGTAAGCTGCATTTGAATTCTTTGTCCTGCCTCAGGTGGACATCTAGTTCAGACCAAATCTTCTGGGGCCATTTCACTTCTGGAAATTGGGAGACAGACATTCATTCTCTCTCTCTCTCTCTCTCTCTCTCTCAGACATGGCGTCATTAGAAATATCGGATGGTAAAATTAATGGTTGTCAAGCTGGTAGAGAAAGTCATGATTTTTTATTTTTTTTACTTGTTTAAAGGGGAGATACACCTTCACTGATGTTTTTAACCTCCTTTCCCTCTCATCTTCTTTTTTCATTTTGTAGAACTGGCCTGGAGGCCATTATGGAAACATATGCATTTTGGAGGCCCCCGGTGCGCACGCTCACCTTTGAAGATTTCACCACCATGCAAAAACAGCAAGGTGAGCCCCTTTTATAACAGGCAGCAGACGGGTGGCCATGGAATAGCTGCAGTGTCATAAGAGACATATGGCATCCAGCTGAATTCATGAAACTCCGAGGTCTCTTGACAGTCGGGCAAAGATATAAAACAGAAAAGTCCAGCTACTAGTTTCAGAAATAGGGAAAAATTTGTAACATAGAGCTTTTATAGCCATTCAAAAGGGTTATTCTTATCTGGGCTACCTCCCCTGTGGTAGAGGGGAGGCCTGTTGTTTAGTAGCAATGCACGTGCTTTCTATTCAGATGGTTCCAAGCTGAATCCCCCGTTAGGCACAAGTTTTTGTGTCTGGCCTAGCGAGGAGAGCCTCCCTCTGCCTAAGATTTAAGAGTTGGTTGGAGTCAGTAACGCTAACTGCATGAACCTGTATGACCTGGATTATGAAGAGATCCGCGGCTTCTTAAAAATCTGTTCAGTGAATCAACTGATGGAGCTGCGTAGTGCTTTTTTCAGCTGGTCAATGGATGCTCTTCCAAGTGGTTGGGCTGTTGCTGCCCCCATCCCGTGCCATCTATGGTTCTTTGATGATGTTGCTTGTTTGCGTGTTTACAGTTTCTGCCTTGCCTCCCTGCTGGGCCTGGCTACTTCTTGTCACTGCCAAGGAACATGGAGCACTGTTAGATGATCCCTGACTTTAGCAAAGGCCACTTCTGAAATAAACCTTTGCTGATATATTTCCTGGGAAAACTGGCAATATTTCCAGTCTGTTTGTCACAATATCCCCTGAGGATTTACATTCTTGCATAGTATGATATTCAGGGATGGCATTTTAAATGGTCACCAGAAAATCCTAACACTGATTAAGGATTGTCTGTCTCCTCCTGGAGTGATAAGATGGCAGGGAGAAACGAAGCCTTTTGCTAAATTTCCCTTGCTTTTAAGAATGTTCGTTCTAGTAATTAGTTAAGATTGTTATGATTTATTCCTGAGTATCCAGGAATTGTACTCTGTTGCAGGGATTGTACTCTGCTGAATTTTCTGCAAAAGAAGCTTCAGTTTCTTCACAGAGCTTGCTTATTAATTTAAAACTATATATACTGACTTTCTGGCTCCAAAATGGATCATCTAGGTCAGTATACATTTGCAATTAAATAATTAAAAATACAAAACTGGACAAAGCAAGAGAGTAGCAGTTAGACACACTGCTGCAGAAAGTCCTACATGATTAAAAGAAATCACTAGGAAATTAAAATGATGTTAAGATAATTGAAATCTGTAGCACAGATAAACTATTTAGGCTCTGAGAGGGTGTGTGAACCTTGGAAGCAGTCTAGTACACTCAGGAATATGATCCCACCTGGCAGAATACTGTGTTCTGCTTTTCTCCCCAAAATCTGCAAGAAGGCATTAATAATATTAGAATGGTCCTTCCACAGCTCCAGGATTAAATGGAGTATTTTTTCTTCCATCTCTCCTCTCTACTAATTTTAGGTTCTTTACACAAAAGCAGACCATGGCAGAAGTGGGGAGGTCACAGGTTCATTACACATGAGGTTGATCTGGGACAGTTCTGCATACTTGGCTGGTTATCTGAAAGGACCTTGCTGTTTCAGCCTAGTTTTTAAATATTTTGGGTGGGGAAGAGGGGAAGACCTACCATATTGTCCCAGAGTACATATGGTTGTGCGGTGGGTTCAAAGGCCAAAAGGTATTTTGGACCAATTGTGCCTTTTTCTAGGATAGTGTGTTGTGGAGCCATGCAGGAAAAGGCACGGTTGACCTAAGAAATGCAGTCAGGTGCTGCATTTGTACCTCTGTGGTCCAAAGCATCTTTTGGCTTTTGAATACAAAGTGCTAAGAGCACTACAAAATGGGTCTTTTTCTGTGGTGCCAGTAGGAGTATAGAATACCATCTACTGTGGCATTGACTTACTGGCACGCAATGCTTAGCCAAACACTTCTGTTCCATCAGGAATATTAGTGGTCATATATATGTTGGTCACTTTAGTAGACCTGTCATTTATCTTTTCCTTTGTTGTTCATTTTATTAATGTTATTGAATTTATTCTGTGCATACTTTTAATAATCCTTAACATATTTATTTTATATTGTTACCAACAGAAATAAATTCTCAAAAACATAAGGGACATTGTTGCACGTGTGCAGAATTTGAAAGATATATCCATTTTTATTTAACAGCGATGTAAGCGCAGAGGTGGAAATTCACGGGTGGTATAAATGGCTAAAGCACGTCTAAAGTAGGAATCAGAAAAACATCTGTATTATGCACTTGCGCCCTATAGACATACATTTCTGACTGCAACTGAGATCTTCAATTTACAGTGTTTATCTTTTACAGTGCTCTTCTTTTAGGTTTAATTAATTAGAAAAGTTTACATAGTCTCACCTTTGTCCACCCACCCCATGACAAAGCATTTGTGGCATGACGTGACACAGTGCAGAACCAAAGACATCATAGTACAACAGAATTGGCACTTCGCTGCACTTTGTACTGTCATCTTCTGGTTAGCAAGGTGCCTTATAAAGTGCCAGAAACTATAGCAGTCTCTCTCATGTTCCCCACTGCCCTCTCAAACTTGGTATTGCATCTTCCCACTATTATGGATCAGATGGAACTTAACAACTGGGAGAAAGATCAGGGTTTAGTTAAAATTTGGAAGAGTCAAAGCTGGATTTTCTAGATTCGTCCATCTGTTGTTTGAACACTATTTTTTCAATCCATAGTTTATTCAAATGTATGAAACGGTAAGTCCCTCATTGCTCAATTATGACACATGTGTGAGCTGTGCAATTGGAAACCCTCTTTCAATTATATGGAGCTATTTCAGGAATTTAACACCCAGCCCAATGGCTCTTTTGCCTCTGTTCCTAGTGATACCCTTCTGCTGTTACATGCCTTGTAAGACTAGAATCTCCCTTATATCCTGATTGATTTTTTAAAAAATTGCCCGCCTAGACAAAATGTAATAAATAAATAGTGTTCTCTGCTTAGCAGGAAAAAAACAACAACTGTTGATGAGAAGAAAAAATTGTCAATCAAAGCTATAAAATCCCAAATCCCCTCCCTGATTTGGCATATTAGAACACGTTATTCCTATAACAGTACTACCCAAGTCCATAATAGCATTCCCTCCAATACTTCGGTATGTTATTTTCAAGTTTTATATTATGATCCGTATGCTAGTGTGCCTTTATCAGAATCATGTTTGATCCTAAAGGACTATTACCTCTGCTGTTGACAGACAGATATCAGTGTTGTTGGTACTGAACTGTACGGAGGAGTTATGTAGTTGCACCCTTTCTCCTGAAGATATAGGCCAATTAACACTTATGGAGGCCAAAGCAATAGTAAAGCAATGAATCAGGGACATTGATCATCACAATGATCTCACCACTGTTCCTGGATTTTATCGCCAAATGTAAGATGTCTACTGCAGGGTATTTACACAATCTAACCCTGAGTAAATATAGATGGGCTTTTTCTAGAATTTGTTTTAATGCTCTTCCTTCTGCACTATTGGTGGGTAGATTACATGAAACTCCTTATTCTCAGAGACTTGTGGCATTAGAAAGGTAGAAATTGTGGCATTAGAGAGGTAGAAATTCTTGCCCACATCTACTTATGGTGTCCTTTATGTAGTGAGACGTGCTTTGCTCTTTCCAATTATTTCCAAAATTGAGGGTCATACAGACAAATGTTATGTACGCTATTTTTTAAGGGATGTTAACTCTTCACTCACATTCCAAGTTGCTGAATACCTTCATTGAGCCATACAACTGCACAAAATTTTGACTTAGATGTGTTGTTCTCTTGTTTTATGATAATTTTTTGGTAATGAGTTTGCTGAAGGAATTTCTTTTCTTTTCTTATTTGTAATACTGGTTGAAGACCATAATAAAGATGTTGTTGACAGTGTTTTCTATAGTGTAAATTGTTTTCTAGAGGTGCCTTAAAACTAATAGCAAATTTGAAGGGAAGAAATTTAGATTCAGTTAATAGCACAGATGAAAAAAGGGTAACTTTCTTTCTTAACCTTCCAAGAGCTATTTTAAAGCAAGAATTAACCAGAGAATACATCTTCTGCACCTTGGGTAGCTTGTTTCCTCCTTGTAGTAGGATTGTACATGAAATTCCAGTGCATTATGGCAGTGTTGTCCAAACTTGGCCACTTTAAGATGAGTGGACTTCAACTCCCAGAATTCCCCAACCCACCAAGCTGGCTGGGGGATTTTTGGGGGTGAAAGTCAATCATTTTAAAATAGG